TGGTAAGATTTATTCCCAAGTATTTTATTTTTTTGGTAGCTATTGTAAACAGTATTGATTTCCTTATTTCTTTTTTAGCAGTCTCTTTGCTGGTGTAGAGGAATCCAACTGATTTTTGGATGTTGATCTTATATCTTGCCACGATGCTAAAACTCTCAATTAGTTCCAGTAGCGTTTTGACTGAGTCCCTTGGGTTTTCTAGGTATGGGATCATATCATCAGCAAGTAGGGATAGTTTGACTTCTTCCTTACCAATTTGGATGCCTTTGATTTCCTATTCTTGCCTTATGGCCCTGACTAGGGCTTCCAGTACAATGTTGAATAGAAGTGGTGATAGCGGGCGTCCTTGTCTGGTCTCTGTTTTCAAGAGGAACGGTTTCAATCTCTCTCCATTGAGAATAATGTTGGCTGTTGGTTTTGCATAAATGCCCTTTATTATGTTGAGGAATATCCCCTCTATTCCTATTTTGCTCAGGATCTATTTTGATCAGAGTTTTGATCAGGAATGGGTGTTGGATTTTATGGAGTACCTTTTCTTTATCAATTGATATGATCATGTGGTTCTTCTCCTTTGTTTTATTTATGTGGTGGATGATGTTGATTGTTTTTCTAATTCAACAGCACTAATATATTTTTATAAAGTTATTATCATCTAAAAGTTAAGGAAATGGTGGAATTTTATATTTTATTTGACAATGCACTCATGAGTATTTCCTTTAAAAATATTCCATACTTCTTTCTGTATATCCATACTTTTTCCACCATTTTAATCTCTTGTTGCAACATACCTGAAACTCCACCTTTAATAAAATCACTTTCACATGATCTGGAATTCTAATGGTTTCAGTTGTATCAAATTATTTTTCTTTTGGTTTTTTTTCATCAGAGCAACATTCACCAGTCACAGTTATAAAGGCAAATAGGAGTTTTGGTAAGATAAACACCAAAACCAAAAAACCAAATTCACTGCCATCAAGTTGAGTGTAACTCATAGTCACCCCCTCCTTGGGTTTCCGAGGTGGTATCTCTACAGAAGTAGATTGCCCAGTCTTCCTTCTGAGGAGTCGCTGAGTTTGAACTGCCAGCCTGCTGGTTAGCAGTCAAATGCCTTAGGCACCAGAGCTCCCAGATAAAAACCAGTTGCTGTAAAGTTGATTCTGACTCATGGCAGCCCCATGTGTGTCAGAGTAGAGCTGTGCCCAGTAGAGATTTCAGTGGCTGATTGCTTTGGAAGCAGATCTCCAGGCTTGTCTTCTGAGGCATCTCGAGGTGTCTCGAATCCTCAGCCTTTTGTTAGCATCACCCAGGGACTGCTTTGTTAAGATATATCTTTTTTTTTACCTGCTGTAGTTGACCTACCAGTGCACTAGCCTCACTATTCTCTTTCTAGCCTATGTTTCCTACTTGTTGCATCTTTGACTGTGCCTGAGGGTATCTCCTGGTCCAGGAAGCAGGCCTGACCCTCACATGGGAAGAATCCTCAACCAATGAAGAATAAGTGTTTGTACGTAAAAATTCCACAGGTTCCTCACCTTGACTAGGAAACTCTGAGCCAGATTCTGTAGTCTGTCAGGTCATCAGGGGACTGAGCTGGAGCTGCTCAGTAAACGTCTTGTGTTGGCTTCTCCTTCTGTATCACTTTTCCACTCCCTTACTGGTAGGCACTTCCTGGGATTACAAGCCAAATAAGTGATTTGCACTTAAATCATTACCTCATGTTTTGTGGGAAAAAGACCTCGCTACTTGCTCTTATAAAGATTACAGCATAGAAAACCCTATGCTGCACTTCTAGTCTGTCACTTGGAGTTGCTGTGAACTGGAATTGACAACATCCAAAAACAACATATAATTGTGACCCACGTTTACATATGATTTTAATAAAATGTCTTCTTTTTCAGGTTTTGAAAGCATTGAATTGGCTCCTCTTGCTGCAATATGTGTCAAAATATATTCTGGAGGAAAAGAATTAAAAGTGGATGGCTCTGTCCAAGTTTCTCTCCCCCTTCTACATACAAATGATATAAGTGCAGGGGATCATATACCTGCCTGGAGATTTGATATGAGCATGGGTATGTGAGTTAGGTGAAAATATTGTGAAAATTTTAAATCATCTTCTTTTGTATATTTTTCAGTAACATTACAATTTAAAGCACTTTGTTAATGACCAAACTGGCCTCACTTATACAACTGTGTGGGAATATGATACCACTCCAGCATGTCAAAAGGAGCTCTGTTAGCGTAGTACCTAAGACATTTGATTGCTAACCCGAAGCCTTGTGGTTCAAACCCACCAGCCACTCCTCGGAAGGAAGATGAGGCAATCTACTTCTGTAGTGATACCACCTTGGAAACCCAAGGAAGGGTTACTATGAGTTGGATCTGACTCAACAACAGTGAGTTTTTGAGTAACATCGTGTCAAAGGATAGCATTATTTACTTATATTCCATTCTGGAAATGTGGAGTGGTGGGTATTTGGGGCCAAAAATCACTCAAATATCTACTAGAGCAGGTAAGCAGTATATACCCATGTTTTTTAAAAGGAGTAGAAAATATAGGTAACAATGGTAGCATGTGGTAAATGCAGTAATTAGATTAACAACTCCTGAGATCTGGTTTTAGTCCATTTTCCAACAGTGTGGTTTTGCACAATTTTCTTAACTTATCTGGACTTCAGTTTCCTAATCTGTTGAATCAGAATTATTTGAAAGCACTTTAAATAAAAATAACTAACTGCTTCCTTTCAGTTCTGATTTATGATTGCTCCCCCCGACAAGGCCTCTGTGTTTAATTACCTTCTAATCACAAGGGTTTGAATAGGTCTGTCACATCTGCCAACACTTATGTGATTATTTAAAAGCAATAAGTTGACAGATTCTCATCATTTAAAATTTCTTCATCTTACTAAAAACACTGTTTTAGACATTGTACATAAGTCATTATAGCAAATTAATAAGCCAAATATGAAAATTTTAAATCGTTTTGTTATGCTGATTTCCATAAAAAGTATGGGTTTTACTGAGATTTTTGTTTAGATATATGGTAAAACTTTATTGTATCAAATAGCATTTTTTAAAGCTTTTAAAAATTAGTTTCAAAGAGCTATACCAATACTAATGGACAAACTGTATTTAATAACAAAATTACTGAAGCCATAAAGTACACACTATAAGTATTTAACAAAAAATTTAGAATACATGACAAGTAACTGCCTGTTGATGAATTGGGATTTCACTATTCACATCCTCAAAACAGATCTTGATATGTACAATTTAAACATTGGGAATAGTCATGATTTCCCTAAGTCAGTCTGTACCTTAGTTTACTTATAATTATTTTATTACCTTTTGTTGTAACAATCATTCAAGTTATTCTATTTTACCTACTATTATAATATATAGAGAGTATAGCAAATATATTATTCCGTGGTAATATAATGCCACAGTTTTTGTAATCTTTGAAAAAGTTCTATAAGGTAGTCTATATATGACCCAGCAAACTCCTATTGCCTTTAAAGTATATTAACTATAACTAATTGATTGATACTTTTTTTACTTGCTTTTTTTTTTCTAGGTGTTTGGATAAATGATGGCCAAGGAATAGTCCAGGAATATAATAATCATTTAATTTGGACATATGATGCACCCCATTTAGGCTACTGGATAGCAGCTCCACTTCCAGGAACTAGAGGTATTATAAAGAATGAAGGAAACAGTTGTTTTTTGTTTGTTTGGTTTTGTTTAGCAATGCAAATAGAAATACTGGAATTAATACCACCAGATAATGGGTTTTATTCTAAGCATTGCCACTTACAATGTATGATAGTAGGAAAAATCACTTAATCCCTTGATCTCAGATTTTTTTGTTTTTAAATTTATAAGAAAAGATTAAGTTATATGAATCCTAAGGTCACTTGTAGCTATAATGTGTGATGAGTCTGGGAAATATGAGGCTTGTTCAAATGAGGTATGTTTATAGTGTCCTATTCATAAATTCTGAAACTTGCTCTTAGACATAGAGTAGCTAAAACAAATGGAAGAAATAATGAAGTAAAGAGCTGAAAGAGGATTTCAAAGGGTGGCTCCAGAAGACAAAATAAAGTATTATAATGACACGTGCAAAGACCTGGAGCTAGAAAACCAAAAGGAAGAACACACGCAGCATTTCTCAAACTGAAAAAACTGAAGATGAAATTCAAGCCTCGAGTTGAAATACTTGAGGGTTCGATGGGCAAAATATTCAGTGGCACAGGAAACATCAAAAGAAGGTGGAGGAATACACACTGTACCCAAAAGAATTGGACATTCAACCATTTCAGGAAGTAGCATATGATGAAGAACCAATGGTACTGAAAGAAGAAGTCTAAGCTGTACTGAAGTTTAGTGAAAAACAAAATCCAGGAATTGACAGAATACAACTGAGATATTACAACAAATAGATGCAACGCTGGAAGTGCTCACTAGTCTATGCCAAAAAATTTAGAAGACAGCTACCTGGCTAACCTACAGAAAGAGATCCATATTTGTGCCCATTTCAAAGAAAAGTGATCCAGCAGAATGCAGAAATTGTCAAACAATATCATCAATATCATATTCAAGTAAAATTTTATTGAAGATAATTCAAAAATGGTTGCAGCAGTGCAGATAGGGAACTACCAGAAACTCACGTTGAATTCAGAAGAGGATGTGTGAAGGATATCATTGTTATGTCTGATGGATCTTGCCTGAAGCAGAGAATGCCAGAAAGATGTTTACCTGTGTTTTATTGACTATGCTAAAGCATTCAACTGTGTGGATCATAACAAATTAGAATAACGCTGCAAAGAATGGGAATTCCAGAACACTTAGTTGTAGTCATGCAGAATCTGTTCGTAGACCAAAAGGCAGTTGTTAAACAGAACAAGGGGATCTTGCATGGTTTAAACTCAGGAAAAATATGTGTCAGAGTTGTATCCTTTCATCATACTTATTTAGTCTGTATGATGAGCAAATAATCTGAGAAGCTGGACTAGAATGTGGCATCAGGATTTGAGGAAGGCTCCAACGCTTTCCAGTTTTTTCTTCACTCTGTTCATTATCATTCTATGGAGGAAGAATCTGATTGGCCCAATCTTGAGTCATGAGCACCGGGAGGAAGGAAGGAGGGAAGAAGGGCTCTTGAACAATAGTATACCTAGACGTCTTCCGAGAGAAGACAGGTGGTATCCTAAATGAAGACTGGCCCTGTGTTATGAACAGAAGGTGTATGGAGTCTGGCAGTGAAAAAGGAATTTTCTATTAGGGAAAATCGATTCCTGTTGTAGGAAAATGAGTATTTTGTCTTCCTAAATTTAACATGGTGTCAAAATAGCCATATAATTTGCACCTAAGGAAACTACATTCACCTCAAGTTGTGTAAATCTCCTCTAATAATATTCAAACACATTATATGTTTTGTTCACTGAATGTTCTTCACAAAAGAAAAATCAGATCCTGTGTGATCCACACAAGCAGTGCATCTGCTGCAGAGTTCATCCTGGGACTACTCTCACCATTGTTGTTGGGGTTATTTTTGCTGTTATTTTGTGACTGATCCTTGTGTCATAGGTCTTACATTTTTCATTTTCTTGGCTTATGACATAGTTCTAGAAATACTGGTAGACATGTAGCCTCAGAGAAAAGGTCTACAGGAGGTAAGTGTTCTGAGACCTTTCATGTCTGAAAGAAAAGGTCTTTATTCTATAGTCATGTATAATCACTAATTTTGTTGAACACAGATTTCTAGGCGGGGAATAATTTTTCCCCTCAAAGTTTTGAAGGGATTCTTCTAGCATTGATGAGAAGTAGGATGCTAGTCTAAGACTTAATCTTTTGTATGAAGCCTATTTTTTCCCTCTCCAGAAGGCTGTAGGATTGTTTCTTTGGCCCTCTGCAGGGAAATTTCATTTACCATATCTTGATGTGGGTCTGTCTTCAGACATCTTGAAGAGCGCATGGTATAGGTCATCAGTCTAGAAATGCATATGTTCCAAAATTGTCCATAATCTTTCATTTCTCTGGTTTCTTTTTGGTCCCTTCTCCCTTTTTTAGGCCTTTTCAAGCCCTCCTTTGGCTTATGTTCCTTCTTACAGTTTTCTATTCTTGTTTCATGATTGTACTATTTTCTCATATCTTTCTGAGGATATTAATAGTATATTTTTAAGTTTTCGTTCTTGCACTGTCTCCAGATTTCCTCCATATTTGTTTGCTTTCATGTCTTTCATATTAAATGCTTTGAGTAACTAGCTGATGACCCTTTGAAAAGTCCATTTCAAACTCTGTGTGCATGAACGGAGAGTATAGACTATGGATTTCATTATAGCATGATCTGACTGGGGCCTTTTTATTGGAGAGCTTTATTGTCAGTATCTGAGTCTTTTATAATGAGCTGGTCAAATTCCCGAGGCAGATTTGCCCAGTGCCAAAAGAAGGTTGGGGATCTATACCTGAATTTTCAACATGGTAGGCCGTTAACTAAAGCTCATGTCCTCTAGTACAGAGTCAGCCTGTCAGTCACTGCTAACCCACTAGAGAGAGATTAAATCTGGAAAGCGTTTGCCATGATTGTGGAGGGGAACTTGCTGGCTATGCATCATTTGTAGAGAGGATTTGGAGAATGAAGTTTCTTAGACTTCAGTCAATTCCGCTCTTTTGTGCCCCATTTTCTTTCCTGAGAAAACTATTGCTACCACTTTCTGGGCTGATTGGGTGTTGCCTGGTATGCCTCTAGTTGCTTCTTGGCTTTCTCTCTGTCAGCTTTGCTAACTCAGCTTTCTCGCATTCAGTGTTCTGCTGCTGTGTCTTAGCCCATTGTCCTCTGTCCTTGTGAGTTTGTGTGTCTACAGACACAAAACAAAGCAAAACTTTCAGGATCATTTTAATGATGTTTTAGGAGAGAGTGAAAGTTAAATGCATATGTCGTTCCTCCAACTTTAATCATGTGTCAGAGAAGATTCTTTGGGTTTATCTAGTGTCTTGGCTCCAAGCTGAGAGACACCGGCTGCCTGGCTATTTCAGATGGTTAGGAATAGTCCCGTTACACACCCTGATCCAAGATGTGGATGACATTTTACATGTTTCTCTGTAGTGTTCTATCATCAAACTCTATCTTATTCTTGTAGTTTGAAAAATCTCAAGGTTTTTTTTTTTTAAATAATATTTGATTTTTATTGTCATTTTATGCTTGAATTTGAAACCATGGCAAGTACAAATACTTTTTTTCAGGGAACCCAAAAGTTAGTATTCCAGTAGAAGTAGTATTAACCATTAACCATACATGATCAAGAGGTATTCTCTCTGTTTCTATTTGAACTTCATGCTTAACAGATTATTTATTCAGAAATCAGAGGGTAGCTACTTTTGTTATTCAGGATGCAGAAGATCATGCAGTCTTGCCAGCTGTCTGGCTTTATCCTGTTCTATATTTGCATCTATAATGAAATATTGATGAAAAAGAACAAATAATATTTAATTTAACACTTGAACTTTAACCAAACCCAAGTTATTTAATTTTTAATAAAAATAACCTAAGGAGCATTTGAGTTTTATGAAGTAAGTGGAAATTCTATTTCAACTTATCGGTTGGGAGAAAAAAAAAATTGTGTGAAGTGGAGTTTTTAAATGGAAGCTGAGATTCCCATTTGGTTTACCTTAGATATCTTCTAGCGTTGCTTTTGAAAAATCTGTTCTGTGAGCATATCCCAGCCAAATAAATACACTACTAGCTTTGGCTTTCCCAGTAGCTAACTGTACAACCTCAAAATAGGCATTGACCTATGTGAGTGTTGAGTTTTCTTGTTTCTAAATTGGAGAAGTTGGGTATGATGATCCCTATTGTCCATAAATATTTTAAGATGTGAGTGTAATATAAAATCAAAATTGGTTCTTTATAGTGTGCTGGAGCTACTTTCATTATAATTTGGTTAATAATATACTACATCATTTTTTTTAAATGGCTTTTGACTGGAATTCTCATTTGACTGGAATTCTAGAATTGCCTGAAAAAAACAATGTTAAGTACAAGAAATTAAAATCAAGTAGTTTCTCACAGATTGTTGTAGAAAAATAGGAGGCCAAATGGTAGATTTAATAAATAATCACTTAATGTTTTTAAATGTGCAATTCAAATACATGTGAACAAAATATATTATAATCTTCTATCTTTCTAACCCTATCTAGGCATACTCTTTCTCTGCATCTCATACACTTGCACAGATGTGCACACACACTCACACACACATATTTTTGTTACTGTCATACATATAGGATTTGGAGAGAATCCAGTAATAACGGCATCCTATTTCCAAACGCTAATTCTGCTGGGATGCTGTGGCGTAAGAAGTTGTTAGCATTGTTCTATTGAGGAAACATTTATTCATAGGAACAGAAGTTGGGTTTCACTCAGTTATAATCAAACTTTACTCTGTTGCAGCTCTGAAAACAGAGTAAGAATTTGCAGATAGAATTAAGTTACTCTAATTTCTTTTTTAACTTTGCTTGAAGAAATGTCATATTGTGCAGTATTGTATTTTATTGCCTATTAGATATAATAAACACTTTATTACTAGTCAGCATATATGAAATTATAGTCAGCATTGGAGTGTCTTCTTATATAACCTTGAATCTTCATTTAACAAAAACAGTAGTGTAGCATGTGTCAATCACTTGACGGGGGATCTATGTAGGAGATCCTGGATACAGTAGGAGAACAATGTGGAACAAAATTCAAAATCATAAAAAAAACAACAACTATCAGACCAGGTTTGCTGGTCTGATAGAGCCTGGTGGAACCACTGAGACTATGGTCCCTAGCTGCCCTTCAGGTCTGGAATTGAACCCACTCCTGTGCTTTCCAGTCAAACAAAAGACAGGCATATGAGCTGAACATTTCATTAGGTAGACACAGTCCTTGGAGAGATCAATCATGGGAGAATAGAGGGGCTATGTATGCACAGGGAGACAGCTCTGGGGGCAGGAGTACATGGGAGGGAAGGACACAGGGAAGAGGTAGCTATGGGGAGGAAGTGGGAGAAAGCCTGTTGCATTGGGGAAGATTGCAATCAATGTCATGAGACAAAGTGTATGTGAACTGCTGTATGGAAGATGAATTTGCTCCATAAACTTTCACCCAAATCACAATAAAATTAAAAAAAAAAAAAAGTGTACCAGGACTTACACTTACTGAATGCTTATCAGGTGTAAAACACTTTTCTAATGGTTTTACAAGTATTAACTCATTTCTTCTCTCACAACTCATATGGGTAGGTATGACTATCACTATTTCTGCTTTACAGATAAGGGAGTGAAGCACGAAGGAATACAACTTACCCAAGATCACATATAAATAGATTGTGAGGGTGGGATTTCAATCTCGAGACTGGCTCCAGAGGCTGTGTGTATAACCTGGATGTTGGTTCTCTTAATCTCTCATTATTACCATTATTATTATTTTTATTAAATTAGATGATGAGAAACTTGAAGGATAGACCTAAAGACTTCATGAGCCCTAAGTCTCTTCCAGTGTTCTAGCCCAGCTGGGAGCTTTGTTCTGGACATTTTCTCATGGCTCAGATCGCCGGTTGCCCCACCCCATTCATTACCCTATCACTCTGAATATATTTTAGAAGGTAGATGATACTGATCAGTAGACTATTATATGCTTTCTTGAGCAAAATGAAGTCTTAGTAATTTTGAGGTAGATTACCTCAAGATTAATTGCCCAATAGCATTTATTTCTGTATATAATCTCAATAGTTTACACTGATCATTCTTGTGTATTTGCCACCTTTTACAGCAACAAAGTTTATATATTTGTGTGTGTTTGCTCTGACCGCATGGTAATAGGTTGACTTTGCCTCTGCTGATTTAGGATTACAGTGCCTTCCTATTCTAGAATCCAGGCTGAAGAATTTGCAAGTGTTAGTCCTTCAAGTCCCAGAATTTTTGGATTTTCTTGATTGTGATAATCTCTGCTCGCTTTGGAAAATTCCTTTCCAAATTTGTCATATGTATATATAGTTAAATGTAGTTTCATTACCAGCATTGTGTCTCAGAATCTCTTCACACGAAGTTCAAATTAATTAGAAATACTTTCTCCCAACTTATTTTACTAAATATTTTGCTACTGCATACCTTGAGTCACTGTTTTTCCTGCCTGCTGAAACAATTTCCTTACCACTCACTGCCTGGCCTAGATACCAATGTCACACGTTTTATGTTTTTGTTAAAGCAAGCAGTGTCTCTGCATCTACATACTAATTTCTGTATCTAGGAGCTCTTGTGGTGGTAACAACCCCAATCTCAGTGGCTTATAATAGCAAACATTTGTTTGTTGTTTGTATTTCATAAATGCTTCACATTGGCTGCTGCCCTTTTGGGCTCAACTTAGCTCACCTTAACATGGTTTCTCATTCCTCAACCCCGAATGAAGAAATAGTGACTCTTCAGGTTATACTACTCACATAGTAGAAGGCCAGAGGGGAGTGCCAAATAAGCCCATTAATGATGCTCTTATTTCATTGGGCAAAGCAAGTCAATTGATTAAGCCCAAAGTCAGCAGAGTGGGAAAGTTGCCACAGGAGAGGAATGAACAAATAAAATTGTTTATAAACAGTCTGCCTCATCTAGGATATGACACAGTTGAAAACTTGACCTAAAATAATATGTTTTCTCTCTGTTTTGTTTGTTTGTTTACATTGAAACATTTAGGTTTAGGTATAAATGAAGATTCCAAGGACATCACTGCCTACCACACAGTGTTTCTTACAGCCATCTTAGGAGGAACTATAGTCATTGTCATTGGATTTTTTGCTATACTACTTTGTTACTGCAGGTACAAACAATATTTATCAGTATGTACAAGCACAGAAAACTATCATATCATGGTATCAATTCAGTATATTCTGTGCATTACAAACTTTATTTGTGAAAATCAATTGTTTGATCTTTAAAATATATAGATTAAAAATAAAAATGGATATATATTTATATTGACATTACCCATATAATACATATTGTGGGGTGGTTTATTGAATGAGCCTCGTAGATTATAACTTAAACATTTTATCTTTTTCTTCTTCTCTCTTCTACTCCAGGGATAAGTGTGGTACTCCACAGAAAAGAGAAAGAAATATCACTAAGCTCGAGGTCCTCAAAAGAGACCAAACAACTTCAACAACACACATTAATCACATCAGTTCAGTCAAAGTTGCATTGAAAGCTGAGGAACGGTCACAGTTCTTCAATGCCCAGAACTCTGCGTTTAGCCCTCAAAAAAAGGAACCGCCAAAGGCGGAAGCTGAAGAAAGAGTTTCCATGGTAAAAACTCGGGACGATTTTAAAATCTATAATGACGATGTTTCGTTTCTGTCAGTCAATCAAAATAATTACTTGAGAAACCCATCACAGTCTTTGGAGCACAATATAGGATCCAGGCAAGCTAAACATGTTAACACCAGTCTGTCTCCATCTCTAGGAGATGCTCAAGAGGAAAAGAGGTATGTCACAGGTAATGAAGAGGTGTATGGGCGTTCCCATATTCCTGAACAGCTTATGCATATCTATAGTCAGCCCATTGCCATTCTTCAAACATCTGATCTTTTCTCTACTCCCGAGCAGTTACATACTGCTAAGTCAGCTACTTTGCCAAGAAAGGGACAGATAGTCTATGGCCAATTGATGGAACCAGTAAACAGAGAGAACTTTACACAGACATTGCCGAAAATGCCAATGCATTCTCATGCACAGCCCCCGGATGCCAGGGAAGAGACTATTACACTCGAAGGTCAGCAGAGCTTGCCATCCCAAACTTCAGATTGGAGCCGTTACTCTAACAGTTTACTAGAGTCTGTCTCAGTTCCTGGAACCCTAAATGAAGCTGTTGTAATGACTCCATTCTCGTCGGAGCTTCAAGGCATTTCAGAACAGACCCTCCTGGAACTGTCCAAAGGAAAGCCCTCCCCGCATCCCAGAGCTTGGTTTGTGTCTCTTGATGGAAAGCCAGTAGCCCAAGTGAGGCATTCCTTTATAGACCTGAAAAAGGGCAAGAGAGCCCAGAGCAATGACACAAGTCTGGACTCTGGAGTGGACATGAATGAGCATCACTCGAGTAGAAAGCTTGAGAGAGAGAAAACATTCATTAAAAGCATGCATCAACCTAAGATCCTTTACTTAGAAGATTTAGACCTGAGCAGTAGTGAGAGTGGAACCACTGTCTGCTCTCCTGAGGACCCAGCTTTAAGGCATTTACTAGATGGAGGGAGCGGAGCTATCATGGAACACCCTATAGAAGAGTCCCCAGGAAGAAAGAGCACTGTTGAAGATTTTGAAGCCAATACATCCCCCACTAAAAAAAGAGGCAGACCACCACTGGCCAAAAGAGATAGCAAAACTAACATCTGGAAGAAGCGAGAGGAACGCCCACTAATTCCCCTAAATTAACAGCAAGGGTGGTTGTGCCTCTGGTGTCTCTGTGCTGTTTAATCTTGCTTCTTATAAATCACAGTATGAACTTCATAGAAAGTTGAGACTGAGCAGTCTTATGGCCCTGGACATGTCTCAAGCAGAGCAAATAGTAAAATGCTAATTACAGTCATCAGAAGGATATCGAGGAGTTCTTTTTCCAGCTTACTCTTTTTATTTATTTCTGGGTGATGAATTTGAACTATCCAAGTTTTCAAAATGTAAAATAGCCTCAAGGTGTTAGTTATCTGAAAATGTTGCTCATTTGGCCAATTTGGCTCTGACTCTCTTAAGAATAACGAGTGAAACATGTACTCTTAAAGTTGCTTCCAACAATGTTGCCTCTGCCTTGATGACTACCCCTATGAAACATTTAAAAATGAAACCTTTCTTCTTCTGGCATCATATTCTTGTGAAATATTACTCTTATGTTGTTCTCTGCTTACACTTGAAATTAGCTATAAATGTTCTGGATTGATGGCATTCTAGAATTTAAAGGCAAACAACATTTTCTTTTTTGTGACAAACAGCCAGTGCATTGCATCATCCAAAAAAGTAAGTCCCACATGCAGTTCATAGAAGACAGGCAAGAAACTACTTGGTAGTTAAGGGATGAAATGCCGACTCTTTGGTTGTTTTTTGGATATAACTTCACAGAATAAGTGATAAAGGGTTAATTCATCATTTAGAAATCGGAAAAATTAATGACCCCTCACTGGGTTTCTGAGGTGGTATCACTACAAAAGTAGATTTTCCAACCTTCCTTCCAAGGAGTGGCTGGTGGGTTTGAACTGCCAGCCTTCTGTTTAGCAGTCAAGTGCCTTAGGCACTACGCTACCAGACTCCTTTTTTTTTTTTTATTCAAATTTTTAGTTTTTCGTTTTTCCACTGAAAAAGTGAAGTGAGCTCAGTGTTATCAAGGAAAACTTTTTACTAATCTAGGGAGGAAAATGACTTTAGTTTAGGATTGACTGAGACATGTATGCTAAAGATTAGTTTCAAGATTATTTCTTAAATTCAAAAAACCAAAACTCAACCATTTAACAGCTATCAAACTTGATTTTGAAAGTGTGTTAGATATGTGAATACCAAAAATTTAATAAAATATGTAGAGACAAAGGAAATTGACCTTTAATTTTTTTTTTCTGAAATGTCAACGAGAAGAAAAAAATGCCATTTTCCTGAGGTTCAAAAATGCTTTCAGGATATTCATTGTATATTCAGATGTTACTTTTTTTCTGTTGACATTAATAAAGAATGTTTGTGGAAAGCAGTTTGATTTCAAGGGAAATGCAGAAGTTTTTCCCTACATCATTTATAACTTTCACAACTTTTTTTATTTTCAGTTTTGGAAGTAATATATCCATATTCTTTCCATCACTGCTAAGAATTTATAGTGAGCACATTCAACGGCTGTTTTTCTTCATTTAAATTATAAGTGTCTTTTCCTAAAAACAAAAGATCTTTGTTAAATAAAATCAGTTCGTTCCATTTTTCCTTAAAATTTTTATGAAGGCAAAATGTCTGAAGCAGCATCTCCTTTCCTCAAGGGAGCAATGAAATGAAATTGCTTTATTTTTCATCTCCTGCTGTTCAGCATAGGAGCTCCGGTAGCATAGTGCCTAAGGCTAAGCAGAAGGCTGGCGGTTCAACATGGCGGCAACATAGAGACCCAAGGCACATAAATCAGTTCAAAGAACCAAATAGTCACATTAGCTACAGTAAAATGATAGGTCGGCGTATAGTGAAAGACAACAGCTTTTTCTACCCCCACCCCCCAAAAAAACAGTAGCCTTCAGGCAATTTTTCCCTGTAACCACTTCTGAAACATCTAACCTTTCAGATAACATTGCTACCTTTCTGTATTAACCCAAAGAACTACAGACCTAGACACAAGTTTTCTATATGTGAACTGTACTCCACCGAGGAAGTAAATGTTTTGGATAATACCTGGTCCTTTTTTTTTTTTTTTTCCAGTAATATTAAGACACAATTAGAGGAGTCTTCTTATTGGTCTTATACAGAAAGATGCATTAAAAATGGCATAAATAAACATGATTTGGAAAAGGATAAGAAGTTACTGCTCTGCTGAAGTGCCTTTGATATAGACTTGCTTTATTAGAAGGACATAATGACATCTTTCTCAAGTGTGCACTTTCACTCTGTTAGCCACAGTAGACAGATGTGCAGTTTTTATTAATTTAAAATATAGACCTGGTATTTCATGTTAGAACAATGAGTTTTGCATGTAAGTGACATTTATCTCTTTCTTGTGTGTGTTTAATCTTTTTTTTTTTTTTTTAAATTCCAGTATATATTGATAAATTATTTTGGAGTGAAGTTAGAAAATATATAGTAAAATGTTGCACCTGTTTGATTTTTAAGTTTATATTTTTTCCATATTTAAATATAAATATGTCATCTCTCTCAGCTTGGTATGGAATACACATAAAGGTATACCATTCAAGTATGCCATTTATTTTATTCATCTTACGTACGGAAAATGAGCAGGTATCCCAAGGGCTTTTCTAGAAATACTTGTTTGGTTTCAGAATAAAACCTTATTTTTTTATACACTGCACATTCTGTTCTCAATTGGAAATTATAGACAGTGTATCCTTTCTAGTAATCAAAAGTCTGTAACTTCTCATTTTTGAGTAGTTCACAAATTTCCTGTTCAAAAACTGAAGCCATGCACTTTTTCTTAACCCAATTAATAATAAACTAACAATATTCACAACTTTCTTAAAATTTTAAATTGAAAACCAAGTTTTTTGCAAATATAAACTTAGATATCTAATTGTGGTTACAAATTGGTAATATTTGTGGATCTGTTGTATATACTTTGGCAAAATTATCCCTCAATTAATGATGGATTCATTTACTAAAGCACAGCTATATGTATTTTTGAAGACATACTATGATCTTGAGACTTTATAAAATCCATTTTTATGACATTTATGCAGTTGTTTAGGGATTAAGCCCTTTTATAATATACAGTATACTATGAAGATCACAAATGTTGAGGAATAAAAGCACTTTGCTTTGGCAATCATTTTCAGATCACTTTCTGTATGTTCAGATCCTCTGGTATCAATATGTATTATAGGGTTTTAGAGATCTGTGGGTCAAATAATGTCCCTCATAATTTACCATTCCCAGAAAAGTGAAGCTAATTAATTTATAAGATAGGAGTCAGTTCATTTCCCATTTACCAGCATCATAAAGGACTTTGACCATACTAGCTTCCATCTCAGACCTAGAGTTGACATTTGGCCCTCTTATTTCCATGTATTTCTATGTTTCATATTCTTTCATCAGAGGAATCACTTCAGTGTATTTACTGCTATATTTACTACTGAAAAGTGTAACAATCTGAAGATTTGTAAAAATGTTCAAAATAGTTCATTAAAGATAATAAAAGAAATCTAAAAAAATCTACTTGATGCATTGTTTAATTTGGGTAAAGTACAAAAATTTTTGCTTTGTCTAGTAAATATTCAATTATTATTATTTTTTTCATTACACACCCAATAGTACAATAAGCGTATTTTTGAATGCCCTTTATATAATGAACTTAATTTCTTTTTTTATTTCATGTTCTCCAAAGTTCATATTTTTCCTATTGATGTTGGGTTATTTCATATAGATAAATTATTTTCCACTAATTGAAGAGATTTACTTCAGATTATCTGATTGAGTATAAAACACTTAGGGAAAATGATGCAATATCCCCCTCCCTTTAAAAAATTTTTTGTACTTCTTTAGACCTAAGACTAAAGCATAATACAAAGTTTATTTGCCCTTAAAATGTTTGAACTCTTCCAAGAGCCTTTCTACTCAATTGACTGAATAATATGTAAGTTTGGGCAGTTTTTATTTGGGGGCTTTAGAATACTTTTCAGAATCATCCTGGCTGCCGCCGTGTTTTTAGACATTTCCTATAAAATTTATGTGAGTTGATATAGCATTAGAAATATCCTTAGTACTAGAAATATCTGTTTCATCCTAAAGGGAATCAGATTTTGAATTCATATTCCAAAATATGCTGAATGACCTGCAACATAGGCATCATGATTGGTACTGCCGCTTGAGCCTTGCCTAGTGGAACTAAGCTGTGGCCACGTTTGTTCCAAGGCCTAGTCCCCATCTAGGAGAGTCCGGAATTTTATAATGCAACCCTTGGAAGAGTCGCACAGCCTCCAAACTCAAGGAACTGTTTTGTAACAGAAAGCAAGTGTAATGAATCATAATGAGAAATATAGGTGCCAAATAGGCTGTTCATGAGCCAGGCATCACATTCTCCTCTCGGGAATTAACAAGGGGAGACTGCTACTTAAGAAGTATAGGAAAGTAGTTGGATGAGGTTAAGAAAGGTTGTAATTAACTTATCAGAAGAGATTCACCTATCATTGTGACAGCTAACTACATGCTGGAAGATGTTAAACAGTGTTCCTTTATCCAGACTATACCGTCCCCTTAGGCTTTTTATAGGCGAGTAGCCTTATCATGGTAGACCATACGGCAGTTTCATTCCATCGGTGTGCTCTCTTTAAATCAATGGCAGAGTTACTTTCTTCAGAGAAGAATGTCCTGTTGCCCTAGCTTTGTTGATTGCCTCCTCAAAATAAATTTCTTTTTTAGACTTGTTTTCGTATATTTTCCCTATATTTTGAGCCTCAGATCATTTTGGGGCTGTGAACTTCTGTTCAGTGAATTAAGATTTCTTCTTAAATCATCAGAATTTGGCTACACAAAAAACTATAGAAATCACTCATAACGTATAATGCTAAATAACAAAAAGTTAATAAACTCAATTACAAATAATGGAAAAACATTTCAATCAAATATATATGGTAACTTTCACAAGAAAACAATTGCTGTAACTTTTCTAAAACAGCAAAGCATAAAGATCTCATTTTTGCTATCTATTTAGCTATGGGGGAGCTCTGGCAGCGCAGTGCCTAAGGCACTTGACTACTAACCAGAAGGCTGGCGGTTCAAACCCACCAGCCACTCCTCGGAAGGCAGTTTGGGCAATCTACTTCCGTAGAGAAACTGCCTCGAAAACCCAAGGAGGGGTTGCTATGAGTTGGGTCTGACTTGACGGCACATAACAACATTTAGCTACAGTAAATGAAGCCCTTTCTGTTTGTCAGAAAAGTTCATATGTTGATGAATAATGCTATTTTCTTTTTTTTTTCTCTTAGATGATAAAACATTCCTTAGTCAAACCAGGTATTTCTTGGTTTTCAAACCTGCATTTGCTGTGTTGTAAATAATGTCTGACATTTCCTTAAGAATACTGTAATTTCCCATCTGAGTTGTTCGTGTTTTTCTTCCTTTTCTTCTTCCTCAGGTTGACTAGGTGTTTCATAATTCTTATGTTGACTGGTTCTAATCCTTGTAGACCTTATTAAAACACTAGACTACTGCAGACAGTCTGATTCAAAACAAACCAGATAATTACATTCCCAGGAGCCTCTGGACTTACACATGAATAGCTTAGTTAAAAAACCTTTCCTAAATATGATACTGAAAAGCATAATTGTAGCTATTAAGCCACATGGAATGAATACCCCAAAATAATATTTATTTTCTGTATCCCAATATTTCATAACAGAAAACAAGTTCTTTTAAATGTTTAACATTAAAAGTACTTTTTAAAACTAAATTTATTCAGCTTAAATTTATCTCCAGTACTCAT